TTGGCCGCGGACGCCGGCCGGCAGCACTTTCGCTTAGACCGCGGCACCGGCCGCCTCGTAGTGGCGGACAGGCTGGACCGGGAGGAGCTGTGCGGGCAGTCCGCTACCTGCACGCTCCCCTTCGAGCTCCTGCTGGCGAACCCCCTGCAGTTCTTTCGGGTCGAGGTGGCGGTGCAGGACGTCAACGACCATTCGCCCGTTTTCCCGGAGGAACGAGTCACTTTTAAAATCCTGGAAACGAGCAACCCGGGCTCGCGTTTCCCGCTGGAGGGGGCTCGGGACCTGGATGTTGGCAGCAACAGCATCCAGGCTTACAGCATCTCTCCCGACAACGAGTACTTTAGTGTCTCTTTTGGCAGTCAGAGTGAGGACGACAAATATGTGGAACTGGTCTTGGAAATGCCTCTAGACAGAGAGGAGCAGGCGGAGGTGGGTTTCAGTCTCATCGCCGTGGACGGGGGCTCTCCGCCCAGGAGTGGGACCACCCAAATCCACATTGTCGTTCTAGATGTAAATGACAATGCTCCCGTCTTCACGGAGGAGCGGTACGTTGCTCAGGTTTTGGAAAATGCACCGGAGGGCTCTGTGGTCATCAGCGTGGTTGCAACCGATCGGGACGTGGGAATCAACGGGGACATCACCTATCAGTTCAGCCAAGCAGTGGGCCAGAGCCACTTGGCATTCGCAATTGACCCCAGGAGCGGTGAAATTAAAGTCACAAAGCCTCTGGACTTTGAGGCAGCACAGAATCACGAGCTCAGCGTGCGGGCCACAGATGGCGGGGGCCTCTCGTCAATCTGCAAGGTGTTGGTGGAGGTGGTGGATGTGAATGACAATGCACCAGAGCTGGTGGTCAATTCCTTCAGCAGCCCCCTCCCCGAGAACGCATTACCCGGGACAGTGGTCGCCCTCTTTACTGTCAGGGACCGAGATGCTGGCGCCAACGGGAAGATCACCTGTGCCCTTGAAGACCAGCTGTCGTTCTCCCTGCGGCCGGCCTATAAGAATTACTACGAGCTGGTGACCGTGAGCACTCTGGACAGGGAGGAGACAGCACGGTACATCCTCACTGTCACAGCAGCAGACGTGGGGTCACCTCCTCTCACGACCACCCAGACCTTCACGGTGGACATCTCCGATGTCAACGACAATGCACCTGTCTTCAACCAGACGTCGTACACCATGCATGTGCGTGAGAACAATGCCCCCACAGTGCTCGTCGGAGCCGTCAGTGCCGCGGATGCCGACGTGGGGCCCAATGCCAAGGTGACCTATTCCCTGGCACCAGCCCACCCCGCAGAGCAGCCTCCCTGCTCCTGCATCTCTGTGAACTCTGAGAACGGGCAGGTGTTTGTGCTGCGGCCTCTGGACTATGAGCAGGTGAAGCAGATGGAGGTCTTGGTGAGCGCCTCCGATGCGGGGTCTCCTCGGTGCCATGCCAACGTCACCGTCCGCCTTGTCGTGGTGGATGAGAATGACAATGCGCCGCTGGTGCTGTACCCCTCGCAGCAGCCCACGTGAAGCAGAAGCTTGTTGTCCTGGTGCGAGACAATGGGCAGCCACCGCTGTCGGCCACCGCGGCGCTGAGCGCACTCCTGCTCAGTGACTTCTCAGACATGCGCCTACCGCACAGCAGCCTGGCCACAGAGGACAACAGCGGCTCCCTGACAACCTATTTAATCATTTCATTGGTCTGTGTCTCACTCCTCTTCCTCACGTCCACGGCAGCCTTCGTTGCTCGCAAGATGTGCAAGAGAAAGGAGCTGAAGGGTGGGCGTGTGGTTCACGGCGCTGGCAACTTGCAGAGCGGCCTGGCTGACGCTGCTACTGCAGGGACCCTGTCCCACGCCTATTGCTACGAGATCAACCTCACGACAGGCTCGGGCAACAGCGAGTTCAAGTTCCTGAAGCCCATCCCCCCCAGCCTGCCACCACAGCACTGTGGCACGAGTGGGAGCACTGACGGCGAACGAGATTTCCCCCGTGGCCCTATCACCACGGAGGACATGGCACCAAACAACGCCGGGATGCTCTCTGCAGAAGAGTTCAATAGTCTTTCCTTTAACTAGCATGGAGTCAGCGCAGCCAGAGGCCTCATGCCTCCTGATCGGAAGGGAGCTGGGCTACAACACGTGGCAATGGTTCCTCCAGACGAAATCTGCATTTGCAATTGGTGTCACCGGTTTCCCTCCAGTTCTAGGTCAGAAGAAAGGTTGTCTCCCCCTCCAAACAAACAAACAGACAAACAGACAAACAAACAAACAAACAAACAAACAAACAAACAAACAAACAAACAAACAAACAAACAAACAAA